AAAATTAAAATTTCTGTTTGTATTTTCAGTGTTTTTAAACAATTTCTGTTTTTATTTTCGGATTTATATATAAAATTTTCTTATTTTTAAAAAAATTTGGGATTTATTAAAAATATTTTCATTTAGAAATATTTTTTTAAAAAAAAATTCATAGAATTCGATGCTAAATCGACGATATATAGCATCGTATACGTCCAATGTCGACGCTAAAATGACGCAAAATTAGCGTCGATTTAGCATCGACATAAGACGGAACCAATGCTAAATCGACGCTAAATTAGCGTCGGAACAAATCGATGGTAATTCGATGCTAAATTAGCGTCGAAATGTAGCATCGACCTAGCGTCGAAGATATTTCGACTCTAAATTAGCGTCGAGTTTAGTTTAGCGTCGACAGTTTAGCGTCGAAATGTGATTCGACGCAAAAACGACGCTAAATGCCCTTAGCATCGATTTAGCATCGAATTTGCCGACGCTAAAACTGTGTTTTCTTGTAGTGTATAAGTTCTGATTAAAAGTACTTTAAACCATTACAACAACAAACCAAACCCCATAGTTCAAAGTTGTGGTACATAATTAGTTAAAAACCGAGATACACATACTTCAAATATAAATAGATAGAGATAGAGTTGGATGAGATCAACCTTTCTTGGATTTTGCTTTCTTCCTCTTTTTTTCCTCCGTCATAGTGGTGAAGGGAGACTTCTTTGCATTTGATGGCTTCCTCGTCCTCTTTTGACCAACTACTTCATCCTTCCCACCTTCTCCCTCCTTGTCCTTGGAACCTTCCCCCTCACAGTCCTTCGATCCTTCTCCCTCACAGTCCTTTGATCCTTCGTCACATGATTCAAATTCTTCAACAGGCTCTGGCTGGACATTATTTGGTGTCTCGACACCATGACCACCATCATTTGGTGTCTCCAGACCATAACAACCACCAGTTGTACCAAACTTACCGCCACTAGTTGTACCATCATACCACCAGTTGTACCACCACCAACACCGGTTGTACCACCACCACCGGAGCAATAGACATGATCAAAACGGCTATCATTCCAAGTTTTAGCCTTGTATCTTGACCACCAATCAAGTTTAACAATTTTTCAAAACCATCTTCCAAACTTTTATTCATTTTCAACATTCTTTCTTTTAGATCTAACATGTCTTTCTTTAGCTTTTCCACTTCATCATTCGACACCAGTTGCGGTTCTTCCTCCACATTATCCGCCTCTTTTTCTGCAGCCTCTTTCTCGGCGGCCGCTACTTGGGCATGGACATCACGATCATACATGAATGGAAGAAAAACTGGCTTTTTGTCAATAAAATACCTATTCTTCCAACTTTGAACAATGTAGTCATCAGCATCTCGATCGTTCTCCGCCTCATCAAAGATTTCATCACAAAGAGCTCGCTCACCAGAAGTTGAGACCAAAATATTCTCTATTTCCTATGATTATACAAAAATATTGTAAGATTTTACAACACAATCATAAATAACATGAGTATTACTAACTAACAAG